ACAAAAAACCCTCACATCCAATGCTGTTAAATTAGACTTTGTCCTCTACTGGAAAAACTCGAAAACTCTGTTCTACTAGATGAGTTTGAATTTGTTGTCATACATCCATCTGCTAAGGGTGCCCAGTGGCACAGTGTTCAGGATGGAATTTCACCATATATCTACTATTTATGTTTAAGACTGTATTTTTGAAAAATGCATTGAAGACTTTAATGCTGGAAATGGTTTGATTTCTTCTTAAATATAGCGAACATCTCTGACAAAGCCAGATAACAACTGAACTAAATGTTCTTTATTACTCATGCATTGTTCCTATGAAAAACATAATACCTCAGAGGCAGCAGTGATTCTTCAGATTTGCCCAATGACAAGCCACTATATCAGCTAGTTGTTGCTAAAATTGTCAGTGTTAACTTTATTTGCCAAAACATGTTTTCTTTTTTCAAGCTGCCAGTTGTTGTATCAAAATAAATGGAATCTAAAAATCTCATTATTTTTATTGTTTAAAGCCAGCATTGGGTGCAGTTCTGGGGTCAGATGGCAACAATACTAATTTACCCCTGTGCTGCTGCACTTAGAATCTTCAATCTGCTATGACTTTGACATGACGACTGGCTGTGTTTCTTAATTTTGTTGCGAAGGTTTTGCTGGAGGGCTGTGCATCTCTTAATAATGTGCATGAAGGCACAGACAAGGAAGTAAATGAATATTGTATGAGGTTCTTTTCCTACATGTGGGTCTGCCTGGGTGAAGATCTGCAGAGGTCCAAGAGCCTGCATCTCATGGCCGGAATGGGACTATGATGATGATAGCCAAAATGAATGCACACTATTGAGTTCAATGCGCTTACAGCAGCAAAGTGTTCTCACTTCTCAGCTGGATCAGACAGGGAAGCAATGTCCTTTCCACTGTGTTTGCTCCTTTGGTGGGTCCACTGGCTATTTTAGTGCCAGTGGAGAGCTGTGACATTCAACAGGAGAACTGTTACCTGAGAAGCAAAGTCAGGTTGGATGGAGCCCTGGGCAGCCTGATCTGTGCTGTGAGCCCTGAGCCCTTTTAGGAAACATCTGTGTAACTGTAGTAAGTAAAGTGAAATGGTGTTGAGGCTAATACTGCCAAAATTAAAAGAATATATGCATCTGCATGGTTTCTGAAAGATACCTAGAGATTTTAAACCATCGCATTTGATTTTGTAAACATGAATTTTCGAATCTCTCCTTCCAAAATCTGTTGGAACTACGCAAGAAGGAGATTGCACAAACACTATTGCAGTTCTTCAGTGTGCCGCAGTACCTCTTTGCAGCAGAATGAGGGCCTCAGTTCTGTATGTCTGGGTAATTTAACACTTTTTAGTTTCCTGATATATTCATTACTGTTTTCTTCTAGATAAAAGCTACCTAAGACATAAAATATTAGCTTGTACTAAAATTCTAGGTGATTGGCTTGCAAATTTGTTTGGGATTTCATTAGGAAAATTGTAGTTGATGCTAATGTGCATGAACAGCTACAGCTGGAATCTGTAGTTACAGATCATCACTGGCATCATATTTTGTTCTTTACTTTTTTTCTCATTAAAGCTAGCATTCAAACACTTTAAACATCAAAGTCTCTCTTCTTCATATTATTCATTCTTGCAAAAGTCTCACATCATGCAGTAGAATGATCAGAAAGGTATTTCTCTTTAGATATGGTAAATGAGTCTCATTGTGTCCTCTTGGAGAAGTGATTGGGAATGATTTTATGGTTATTCACTTTAACATTTTATTGTTTTGAGTCTAAGCTTTATTAAAGTTTGGAAACTTTTAAGCTGATATTCAATCACCATCTCCTCATCTTATTTCTACCCCAAAGAAATGTCTTTCATTGATCACCTTCTGCAGACTCTAAAAATCAAATTCTACAGAAAACATCTCGTAAAATAATTTGAAATTCCATAACTCTGAGTATCTGAGTATGTATCCTCCTCACCTGGCACTGTACACCAGAAGGCATAGTAATTCCAAAGGTTCTGCTGTATATAAGGTACTTTGCAGGAGAGTCTGACGTGGTTATCTTAAATAACTTTTTCTGCCCACTTTTGGGGAAGAACTGAAATCTGTACCTTTTGAGGTTAAGATCTTCCCTAGCTCTAAGTGAACTTGGGGTCAAGTTGAGTTGTATTGCCATTGCTAGTTCTATTCTGGGCTCCGCAGATAAGACTATGGCTGCAGGACTGACGCTTTACTAAAGGTTCTTTTCAAAATCTTTTAGTTCTTTATTATTAAAAGTGAAATTTACTGTCTCTGACCTCAGTAACTAAGCACAGCAGGACTGTAAATGCAGAAGCAATTGTTTCCCTCTATACAAACATCTCATGCCAATCTGGCATGTACTGCAGTAACCAAGGGTCAACAGAAGCAAGATCAACATTCTGGAAGAGCAAGCAGAGTTTCAGAGAGAGAGATGGACAATAGCAAGGTGGTGGTGGTGGTTTTTCTCCTGTTATCATTGATTATTAGCTTTAACTACTTAGCAGTCCAGTAACAGCTGAGGAGTGCCCCAAGGCAATAGACCATCTTTACTGTGTGAGGGGAGAAGCCTCTGTCAGGTGTCTTTTTTAGAATGTTTTGCTTTAGAATCTTTACGTCTGGCTTCTTAACATCAGTCAGCTGTTCTTCATCCCGATGCTTATTTTGACTGAGGACAGTGACAGCAGAATGTGATCACGTATTGACTGTCATTCAAATATGTAGGATCTTGGTGTTTCTTTCTAGCAGCTTCCTATTCATCTTGGTTGGTATGAATGAAAACATGAGCCCTATGGAGACGAGTAGGAGTAAAAATCGATGAGAGAGAATAATAGCCTAGTAGAGAGAGAGAGAGAGAGAGCTGGATTTGCAATTTGGAATGGGATCCCAGATTTGCCTCTGGCTTGTTGCATTGATTTGGGGCAAATTACCAGTGCCTTTCCATGTTTCCCATTTGTAGGATGGGTCAGCAGTCAGAGTTGATTAGTATGTTTTCAACAAAAGCATTTTCATTGAAACCTAGATGTTGCATATACTGATTTTGATCTATTCTTCTTCTGGCAATACAGGCCTTTCTGAGAAAAAAATGGAACCTGACCCTTATGAGCAGGTAACAATGGTTTCAACTCACTGCTATCTCTGTGAGAATATTTCAAAGCTTTCTGGCTTTGTTCCAATGCAAAAAGAAAACATGTTTTCTGAACTTGAAAGTTTTCCAAAACACTACTGCCATCCTTCAGTCAGCTCTAATAGTATGTTGTTTGTAAATTGCTTTGAGCTCCTTGAGTGAACAGAGATCTATAAGAGCTAGCAATTATTTGAATGGTGTTAGGTAAGGTTGCAGCCATGTAAGTATGCTCGTGTGTGCTTCTGTATGTGCTGTAGGCTATTTTAAGTGACCATTTAAAAACATTTGCTTAGTGAAAGAAAATTTTGACCCAAATCACATAACAAATAAAATCCTGTCTTTGAAAGAGCCCATTTAAAACTGCAGGGATGTGAAGGTAAACATCAACTGGTAAACTCTTTGTGATAGTGGATAGTGGTTTTCAGCTCTGGGGATAAAGTACAAGCAGATGAGTCAGAATCCAAACTGAATTCTTCTGGGCAACTTGTGAACTTGGAGTTTATAATCTAAAACTGAGCTAACAGTTTCTTAACCATATCAAGACCAGCAGGTGTTGCTATAATATATTAAATGCTGTGGAGGTACCTAACAAGCTGCACTCAAGCATTAGTTCAATAAGCATTCAAATTGGTGTTTTCCACGAAAGTGTAATGCTATGACAGTGTTGCGGTAGCAATAGTACTAAAATTATCAAAACAGTAGAAAATTGCAGATTCAGAGCTACTTCTGCTGAGCTGTGAGTTTCACTATGGCTACAGGGAAACAACGTCTGACCCTGGATTTAGATATTGAGACTTCAGTGAATTGAAGAGTACAGAACTGTAGAAAGTAACCATCCTTTATAGACCTTTGTAGAAATGTAACTACTGGCGAGAAATGTTCCTGCAAAAACTCTGAGTGGGATGGGGTACAAGGACCACTGTGAGCATTAATGCTGAAGCTGCCTGTTTGAAAGGGCTCAACTACCTTGTGTCCGCAGATCACTGGCTAAGTGGTCTGAATGGTTCTTCATCAGTTGTTGTGTGTGTGTTTAATGATAAGGGCCTAGGCTGCTTCTCTCCACTTGTATATGCTTGGCAAGAACTTCTTTTGCGTATGGAAGTGGTCCCAGACACTTCACTTCCAGGTAGGATCACAAGCCAAGGTTGCACTTAGGCTGCTGGGAAACCCATGGAGCTGAGAGCATTTGCAGCTCTCCCTCTTGCTGGAAGCATATCGGCTTGATTCAATTCATTTCCAGCCTCGAGACAGGTGGGTCATCGTCTGAACTCCAGGGGTGCAGCCATAGGCAAGAGAAGACTTGGTCTCGTACTTTCCCAGGATCTGCCTGCAGTGTTGCTTGGGTAGGATACGGGCCCTCTAGATGGACAGCAGAGAGAAAATGGCCACTGGTGGAGTAAACCACGCAACGCCCGTGGCTCACTCACCCATCCATCGCGCCGAAAGGCAGCGGCAGGGGAGCAGCGGGCGAGGCGGGGCGGCGCGGCCACGGCACGGCGGCTCCACCGTGTGCATGTAGATGAGATCCCCCGGAGCACGTCACTCCGCACCGGCGCTCTGCGTTTGGGGCGGCGGAGAGCGAGGGCGGGCGAGCGGGAGCCGCCGGCGGAGGAGAGGAGAGAAGAGCAGAGGAGAGGAGGCGGCGGCTCGGCAGCGGGCAGCCAGCAACGGCTCCGCGGCGCCCCCGATGCCGCCCAGCCCAACGCCGCGCGGGCCCCGCGGGGCGAAAGCGGGCGCCGGCGGGCGGGGAGCGGCGCGGTGGTGCTGAAGGACAGCTCCGCTCGCATCCGCGCCCCGCCGCGCCCCGGCGCCGGGTGGCCGCGAGGCCGCCGCGCCTTGATGTGCCCCCAGCGCCCGCGGCTCCCATGGCGGTGGCACGGAAAATCAAAACTTTGTTGACGGTCAACATCTTGGTCTTCGTGGGGATCATCCTCTTCTCCGTCTACTGCAGGATCCAGGATCGTTCCCAGGAGCTGGTGCAGATCGTCCGGAGCGCGGACCGCCGTGTCAGGAGCCGAGGAGCCAAGGTGGGCAGCCTGGCTGACAGGGAGTCCATCCTGCAGCGCCTGGACCACCTGGAGGAAGTGGTCTACAACCAGCTAAATGGTACGGAGGGCTGGGGGGAGCGCTGCGCTGGTCCCGTGGTGATCAGCTCTCCTGGGAGGGTGCTGTAGGCTGGGAAAATCACCCGAAGTGCCTGCTTGCTGGGGAGGGAAACTGCACCGAAGCACTGCCCTGAAGCCAAAGATGCAGGGAAAGCTGCAGGGGTTTGTTGGAGGGGTGCGTGAAGGCACTCCCTCAAACTCTTGGGTCAAAGTCAGGACTTTTGAAGTAGAAAGTTAAGGAGGCTGCAGAGTTCAGGGATGTAAGGGTTGGTGGAATTCTCAGTAAGCTTTTACAGCTTCCCTGAATATATCAACTCTGCGTGGGTATGTGTTTTTATGGCAAATGCACTTTAAGTTTTTAGCTGGAAGTTGCATATTTGGTCTCCAAATTACTTAAAAAGCACTCTACCAAGTTCTTATGCTGTGTACTTTTAATAGTCATTTTAAGGATTGCTACCATATGTTTCTTTAATGACTTTGCCATTTAAATTTTATATTATCTTTGGTAAGGAAAGGAAGCATCCACTAATTCCTTTTGTTACATTCAGTTTTAATTTGCCAGCCTTGAAAAATCTTGTTAGGTAAGCAAAGAACCCTTACGTGGTAGTTAGAACAGGCTAAGCCATACCAGTTGCCAAGGGACGGATAATGTTTCATATGGGAACTAATTCTTTCAAAGAAGTCTGTTTGTATTTGCATAGATTCATAAAGTTCTAAATGTGGGACATCAAACAAACAAGTATGTGATTAAATACATCCATGCTTTCCACAAGAAGCTGAAGGAGCAAACTTTTACAAGAGATTTTAATATAAATGTAGCATTCAGTGTTGAGCATCAAATAAAACTTGCAGTGTAAATATTTTTAATGATACCAAATGTGCTTGTAGCCTGCTTCTGAAAATCTTACTCGTAATATTGATTTAACAAAGGCTACTGCAGTCTCAAAATGCAGACAAACAGTGTAAAGTATATATACTATTACTACTTTCTGAATGAATGACCCTGTAAATCCAAGTAGGTTGGATGGTTACAGTAACACGCTGTTTGTGTCAGTGACTGTTACAGAGCTGGCATCCCCTCGCACTTTCACATACGCATTCATGTGTACAAAAAGAGAAGGGAGAACAGGAATGTGGAGTGGTGGGTGTTAGTCACAAAAGTATGCATTCATAAGTTAGAGGAGGAGAGTCAACAGAAGGAGTCAACAGCTGTATTTTCTAATGATAATTCGGAGAAGTTCTGAAGAATGTAAGTTTTAAGAGAAAAATCCTCCCACATTCAATATATCCATCATAGCGCAATTGAATGATTTATTTTTCCTCAGAATTGTTTTGTTCTTGGTGGTTTTCACAAGTGAAATTTTGGATAGGATTTTATCAGCTCTGGGTTCATCTCAGCATAGCATCCCCTGAAGTATCAGCAGGAGTCCATAACGTTCTAGGCAGGCATCGTTGCATGTAATGACTGTGGCTTCAGAGTAAACAGAAAGTTCTCCATAAGCTATTTCTCTATTTTGGCGACTGTTTTTAAAGTGCAATTACTTTAATTAAAATGTTGCTCCTTCAGGTTATAACAAACACTGTAGGCAGTTGCTTGTTCTAGAAAGTTCTTATACAGAAAAATACAGAAAGTTAATCAAGCTGAGATGTTCAGATTTCCTGTGCATTTCCCTTCAGTCTCTCTCTGACGTGTCTTTTGTTTATTACACAGCAGTTTATTAATGCAGATAAACTATTTGGTCATCACTGGGAAAAGATACTTTCTCAGTTTCGTCCTTTATTTAAGTATTTGCTCATTTTTCCATCTTGTGGTAACAACTCCGCAAATTCCTTACAATTAGCAGGTAGCCTACTGAAATCATCAGAACTGCATCAGTGTAAGTGAAATCAATTATCAGTGTTTGGGTTTAGCTCCCTGGTGTTGCTTTTTAATATCATGACTCATTATTTAATGGGCATAATGCTGCTCTGGAAGCATTGAAATTCAAGGTAGTCTGTGACAGTGCTCTACTGTGCCTTACCCAAAGACTGGGGTTACACAAACGCTCAGAACCATGCCTTCCATCCCAGTGTCAAGCAGGGTTCCTCAGATGTTAACCTGTGCAGTACTTCACTGCAAGTTGGAGAGTCATCTGATGCCTTCTCGAACGTTACTTCATAATGAGATGGGCCAAAGTCACTTTTATAAGGGGAGATGGGTATGGAAAGGCAGATTTTATTCATAAGGCATATTAATTCCTGCAAGCACCACAAGTTTGAGTCAAGTCCAGTGATTTTGTTGTGATAGGTCTGTCCAGATCACAATGCCATTTTTTTTTACTCTTCATTCTTTCTGTTTTGAGATCAGCAAATGTACAGCCAAATATTATGTATCCTACATTTTTTGTAATCAAGTCTTAGTGTTCATTTAGTTAATTGTTTTCTTCTATTCATCTAAATCCTAAACTGGTGGGATCTTACCTGGTTTTTCCAGGGACTCTGCTGAAGTTCCAATGTAGTAGAAAAACCTTCTTTGAGAGACCAGCCCTGCATCTGCAACAATACAGAATTTTGTTTCTGTCATGCTTACTTATTTTCATGAAATCAAAGAAACATCATTTGAAAGTGCACTTTTCTGTGAGGAAAAACAAGCACAAGCAGTTATGCTGAAAGAGCATTTCTAGCATGAAAGAGTAATTTCTACTGATGAGTATCATTTACTGTCAGTCAACAGTGAACTAAAGCTTGGTAGATTTAGTAACAATTCTTGAAATGATGTGACACTTCGGTATTTTGTTCTTTTACCTTTATTATTATTATTATTTTGCAAGGAAAAAAAAAAAAACCACCAAGATTTAATTGGTTGTTTTTTTTCCCCTAATCAGTTTTGCATCTAAGTCTGTTGCTAATGATTTATCACAGAAGATAAAGAATTTTTGATGCTCCAACTACATAATAACCTTTCATGCCAAAAGCAATTGAAGGGTCAGACTACAATTTCACTGTAATTGCCTTTTTCCCTTTTCACTGTCTCTTTCCAGTAATCCACAACAATCAATATAGCATGTAATTAAATTTCATTCAATCTGCAAAGATTAAGAGAGTTTTCATCTTCTCATTATGTATGCTCACATCATGTCTTCCTACCCACATCTTCTACATTAGACCTCTTCGACCTGTTCTGTTGCAGATGTGGAGGAATATGTCTGGAGTATTCCCTTGAATTTCACAGATTACCATTCTTTACACATCATAATTTGATTTTGCTCTCTTTAGGAAGATTAAATACAACAGCAATTTCCAGTTTGATAAATGGGTTTTATATTGCATATGCATTAAATGGGGGCTGAGGGGGGGAAAAAAAAAAAAAAAGTGGACAATTCACATAATTGCAGCACACAGGCTTAAAATGATGGAAATAGCAGGTCCTAGGTATGGAGGACTGATTCAACAAGACTGACTCCTGATTTTTTGAGTGTACTGGAAGCAAAGTGATTGCATTTAAAATTCAGCCTGGCAATCTGCATACTTAAAAGGTACAGTAGTATTTTTAAAAGGACTATTTACCCTTCACAGGCTTGAGGCTGGTTGGAAATGGTTCCAAATTTCTATATTAAAAGTAAGAGTGGGGAACTGGCTGCAGTTGAATCATGCGAATGTCCACATCAGATTTGTCAAAAAGAAGCATTTATTGCTGGCAACTTTCAGTTCAGTTGCCGAAAAGAGAGGGAAAGCCAGGTGTGCATGGGGATAGATTAAGTGTGACTGCCAGCCTTGCATTAATGAAAGCACACCTTCTCTTACCCACATACAAGTTCTCAAATGCTTGATTTGATTATGATCCAATGCTAACATGCATCTGACCAAATTAACACGTAGTAATTTCCACACTTGTTTGTGTAGAATAATCATTTGTAATTTGTAATACATAATCAGATAAAAGCAATGTTTACAGGTGTGGAAGGAAGATCTTTGGCTGATACAGTGGTTTTGTTGCCATTTAGAAGCAATTCAGGACATTCCTGTTCCTTTCAATTTCTTTGCAGGTATATTTGGAAAAGTAACAATGAGGCAGTCACTTTTTTTAGTCAAGAACTGCAGTATAGTTGTTGCACATATATAAACAACAGACATTTTCACAGAAATAGAAAACCTGGCTTGACTTAAAGGCCTTAATACAGGAGGTGGGGCTGCTTTTGAGTATTTGCCATTTGTTTTCTTTAAGCAAAGACAGGTAGTAGCTAAACCAAGAGCATCATTTAAAAATGCAGTTCCAGGCACTGAGTGTATGGCTGTTCTCCAAGGAAATAATAAGATTTATGAAAGGAAGGGAAAGAAATGAGTCATGTTTAACAAATCTTTCTTTTATTGATGCCCCTCTCTAACCTTACTAATGGGTACTCAGTCTCTCCTTGCTCAGTATACATGGCACGTTTTTTTTATTATTGTTATAATTTGTTGGGTTTCACTTGAGAGTCATTTCCTTTGCTTATTTTAAACTAACAAACCAAAAGGGGAAAAAAAAAAAAAAAGATTGTGCAATGTTCTGGATAACAGGAAGGAAGAAAGTCAATGACAGCTGAGCAGCTTCCAACTTCGTTGTAGTTCTATTGATCAAAACTGCCCTCTGAAATAAGAGTATTTCAGCCTTTGAGAATGAAAACCAGAGAATCTCCCACTGACCCCAAGTCTCCGTCCTGAGAGCATGGAGCTAAAAGCACAGTCTTAACATGACGTGTGGATGACATCTGCCTGGTTTTCCTAAAACCCACAGGTACAGTGCCATAGAACTGTGTATGAATGTCTGAAAGTCACATGGATAGAGGCAAAATCTGTTTTATGGCAAAATGGTCTTCTTTCCTTCCATTGCCATGCATGAAAAGAAAATGCAGCAGCACTTCTTATGACAAATCCAATGGATTGTCCATCCAGAGGAGCTCTCACACAAGCTTCCTACCTATTGTTGCATTTCTCAGGCCCTTTTGTTTCTGAATAGTTCTATGCATCTGTCGTCTAGACAAG